ATGTGAAAGAGAGAGAGCGAAAAGAAAGCGACGAGAGAGAGAGAGAGAGAGAGAGAGAGAGAGAGAGAGAGAGAGAGAGAGAGAGTGGTTGTGTGTGTCCGTGTCTTCGCGTTTGTGTGTGACATGTGGATTGTGTATGGGCATGTATGTGAGGAGGGATGGTGTGCACTCGCCTACCAATCAATCAATCAATCAGTCAATCAATCAACCAATCAATCCATCAGTCAATCATGTGTGTGTGTGCATGTGTGTGGACTGCGCGAACAATTGAAATATATGTGGGCCAACTCTACAAAGATGTCGACGTTTTCTCTCTCTTTCTCTCTCTCTCTCTCTCTCTCTCTCTCTCTCTCTCTTTCTCTCTCTCTCTCTCTCTCTCTCTCTCTCTCTCTCTCCCTCTTTCACTTTGGACGTGCGTTTTGACTACGAATTTCAAGATATCTGCGAGGCAAAAGTTGTTTGTGCTATTCTTTTGCAAAACACACGTGTTTCACAAGGATTTAACTGTTTTCAACATTTTAGGACTAGAACTTCGAAACCATTAAATCCTTGTCTCGCAAACATCTTGAAATTCTTAGTCAAAACACAAGTTTAAATTGGAAGAAAGAGAGAGGAGAAAGAGAGAGGAGAAAGAGAGAGAGAGAGTAAGGCAGAGAGAGAGCGTAGATATCTTTGTGGATGGCTCACATACATTCCAAACATTTGCTCAATCCACGCACATGCACACACACATACACATGGTTGATTGATTGATTGACTGATTGGTTACCATTCATTCAATCAATCAACAATGTCATATAGGACTATAACTTTAAAGACTAATTGATTGATTGATTGATTGATTGATTGATCAATTGATTGCTCGATTGATCGATAAATTCCCACATCCACGGGGAGCAACATGCCGAGGCCCACAAAGCCCCAGCTTAGAGTCCCCCCACCCTTCTCACAAAGCCAAACCCTGAAACAAACATTGGCCTAAGCTGCAAGGCATGTTCAAGATTGAATTTTTGCATTTCACCAGAGGAAGACGAAGAAGAGCAAACATGGGTAGCAGCTCTGTGAAGTAAAACAGATCTGTGTGTGCACCAGAGAATCTGGCCAGGTTCAGGCAGAAGGAAACGAGCACATGCAAACCAGCATGAACCACTGTATTTCGCTTTGGGGGTCAAAAATTTGAAAACCCGACAATCTAAAATTTTGTGGTGGGTGAAGTGTGATCAAAATTTGATAAGCCGACATAAGAAATTCGTGAGATTAAAGCTCAAGTAAACATTTAGCTTTGAAGGTAGCAAAAATCACAAACTAAAGTAGAGCACAAAATTACTTTGGAATGATAAAGAAAAAAGACACCCAATACAGCCCGCAAAAAATGGCTTAAAATTGAAACTGTTTCATACTGCAAAAAGTGATGTCCACCAGAAACTATGTACAGGCCCGCCAAAAAGAGGCGACTAAGAAGTATCTGTGAAATGTGTCACTTTCCTGCTAAAGATTGGCGTCTCAAACAGAAAGAGGCAAGGCTCGGACAAAACAGGCCCTACGAAGTGTCTCATTATCCTGCCCAAAAGTAGCAACTGGAAGGGACGACTTGTAACTTCGAAGGCTAATCGTAGGTTATCATACAACTACTTTGACAAACAAACAAACATTTGAAAAACGAAGGGGACTAGGGGGGTATCCTGTTGAAACTTTGTCCCAGTAACCCAAAAATTCCCACGAAAAGAACAAAAGTCATCATCAAAAAAAAGGGTCGGGGGGGATATCATGGTGAAACCCTGTCCAAATACCCCATATTCCTACGAACAGGACTGTAGCGTAACAGTAATAGTAATGAGACTTGACAACATCGACAGATATAGAACTATATCACTGCAGCAGTAGAAATCTCAGCAGCGATATAGGACTATAACAAGCAATGGCGTTTCAGAAGCGATATAGGACTGTAACAAGCAGCAACGATACATGACTAAAACAAGCAGTGACAGATATAGAACTATATCACTGCAGCACTAGAAATTTCAGCAGCGAGACAAAAGAGAACTACATCACTGCAGATGTAGAACTATATAGAACTATATCACTACAACAGTAGAAATAAAGTACAGCAGGAGACGCCGGGAGAAAACATGAGGAGCAGTGGAGAAACGAGAACTTTAACATCAACCTCCTGAAAAATGAAACGAAGTCGATACAGACAATTGACGCTTGATTATCCATGTTGCCTGCAATGTCATGCATCCGCCGTTAGCAGTGCTCTCTGATCCTGGTTGCATCTCGTAATGTAGGCTAGCATTACTTCTGAGTAGTGGTGAGTTGGGCGCTGAGCGCCAATCAAGAAGGGCAACATTGGATAAGTTGTTGATAGTGGCAAGAGGAGGCTGACACTGACATTTGAGTTCATTGTATTGCTCGTATTTGGCTTGTA